AATAAAAATGGGGTTTGCTTTGGTCCGCTCACGGGCTAACACAGTTCCTAGGCGGGGAGCCCGGGGGATGTTTGTGTGTCTGCCCTGAAAGGAGCCCGGCACCGACTTTCTGCCGTCCCTGGCGAGAGCCGGATCCCTTTCTCCACCGTTCGGGCTGAAGGAAGAGCTCCACAGACACCGACCCACGTCACGGGCTGCGAGGGCGGCGTTGGGGCTGCTCCAGCCCCGGCAGAGAGCCAGCGCCTGGCCCGGGCGCTCGGCGAGGGGGCCCTGCCAATGGCGCCGGCTCTTCTTCGAGACCGTGTTTTCAATTAGGGCTCGATGCGCAGATTGTGCGCTTTGTTGGCGGGGGGCCTTCTCCCGAGGCCCGCCGATTGATTTACGAAGTTGATTAAAATATTAAAATAATTTGGTGCGATGCTGCAAACACGCCGCAATTTGCGTTTTTATCATATCTGGTGCCGTTCCAATTAGCTCGAGACTCTCCTCTCCCCCTCCTCTTCCGACCTGCTTTGTTCGCTAACAAATTACAGTTATCCTGGCCTCGCTTTTGTATTTATTAGAGATGATGCATATGTGCGCTCTCGGAGCAGTTCGGAAACGGGCTGGCTAGCAGCGGGGAGCCCGGCGGGCCAGAGCTGTTCCTGAGTGGAGAAGGCATCCAGAACTGTCTAGCTGGAGCTATTTATTCAAATCCTCCTTATGTCACTGGCAAAATGAGGGTAAATCAGTGGAGAAGCTGGGAATAAAATCCATCTACCATGAACAGCAATCTCTTTCTCTTAGCTAACTGGGGTTTCACCAGGAGAGAGCCCTGGGTTTTCTGTGATACCTTCTTCTCTGTCCAGACCCGATCTCCCCCGGTATTGGCAAGAGCCCTGAACATCCTCAGTGTCCTTCCAAGAGCGTTTTCTGGCCATCAAAGAGCTAAGTACAACACTGGTCCCCTCTGCAGTACCAACGGCCTCAAAGTTCAACCGCACCAACCCCACCAGCTACCGAAGCCGCAGACGGAGCCACCCACAAAGAGCACGGTCGGAGCCAGCCCTGGCGGCTAAATGCCGCACGGGCAGAAACAAAATGCTTATGTCCAGGCATTACATGCAAAACCCCTGGGGATCCGTGCGGTGCCACGAGTGCTTTGGTGGGGAAGGATGCTCTGGATGCCCCCCGTGCGCCAGGGCAGCCCTGCGAGCGGCACGGGGCCGGCACGGCTCCAGGGGAGCGAGGGAGCCCGCCTCGGCCAGCTGCATACCATGGACTAAAAAGGAAATTATTTTGTCAGCGAGGCACTGCTCGCCTTCAGGCCCGGTGCCACCACAGGGCTTCGCGGTTGAGCCCTAGGAACCACCACTGCCTCAGGCTGGGGGGAAGGTGGGGGCTGAGAAACAGGAGATATTTCATCACTGGACCAAGTGTTGCCACCGTTCATCTCCCCTCTGGCCCCAGCACCGTGAAACAGTGGTGATGCTCATGGCGGGCTCAGACTGCAGCACC